ATACACCCCCCCCCCCCCCCCCCCGCAGGGACAGGTTGACCTGCTGGCAGCACCATACCCCCTTTATCTGTACTTTATTGGTACAAGTAATCTAGTTCTTGTGATTCCAGCTGTGAATGACTCTGCCAAGTTTTAAAATTCTTTTTAATTAATTTTTTATGTATTTGTTTAATTTTGGCTTTTGGCCACACCTGGCTGCACTCAGGCTTATTCCTGACTTTTTCCTTAGGGGGAATGTAAAAAGATATGACTCAGGGGGACCATATGCAGCACCAGGGATGTAAGCAGGGTTGGCTGTGCACAAGGCAAGTGCCCATAATGCTCTACTATCTCTCTGGCCCTATTTTTTTTTACTTCATTATATTTTTAATGTAATTTAATTTTGTTGTTGTTGTTGGGCCACCCCTGTGCTGCTCAGGGATTATTCCTGGCTCTGCACTCAAGGATCGCTCTTGATGGGCAGAGGAGAACTGAGCCAGGGATTGTGGTACTGGGGATTGAACCTGGATCAGTTGTGTGCAAGACAAGACTGACTTAGGAGTGGACTATTGCTCCAGACCTGCCAATTTTGGGGCATTTGCCTTGCACGCAGCCAACATGGCCGACCCGAGTTCGATTCCTCCGCCCCTCTCGGAGAGCCCGGCAAGCTACCGAGAGTATCTCGCCCGCATGGCAGAGCCTGGCAAGCTCCCCGTGACGTATTCGATATGCCAAACACAGTAACAACAAAGTCTCCAATGGAGACATTACTGGACCCGCTCGAGCATCTTAGGAAGACCTGCTTCCTAAGAGATATTCCCTCTGTCTTCTTATTTGCTAACTAATGATATGGGTGGCTAAAGTCAGTATCTTGATCCTATTTTACACTGGTCTGCGTATGTGTCTGAGAATACATTCAGAGTTGATGCTCATTCTCTCTTGGCTTCATTTTCGGTCAGATTTTTCCCAACTGTTCCTCCACACAGTGTTCCAGTAATGTGTGGTGAGCTTACCACAGACCTCTGTGGCTCTGGTTTTCTCCATCTCCGTTCATTCTCTGTTATTCACCCCAACCAGAACACCAGTATCTTCAGCTGCACATTTTCCTTTGTTGTTCCCATTCAAGTCTACCACTTTTTTTGAGGGTCCTCCCAAAGAGAGCTCAGTGGGCCAGGGAGCCACTTTCATGATATGTGACCAGCCAGGCCAGTGGCTCAAGGCCAGGGCATAAGAATGCAGTACTGCTGGGTGATGCTCACGAGGCCGTGTGGAGCTGGGGACAGAAACCCTGGGTTGCATTCACCCTAATCTCTGTAATGCCTCCTGGCCCCATCAGTCTACTGCTTTTATGCCCGCAAATCAGTTTTTTCTGTTCTTTTCTGAAATGAATTCTTTTAATGGTGACTTATAGTTTTTGATATATAAAGAGTTCACTTCTTTTGTTGATTCCTCTCTGATATTTTTGGACACTAATTTTTTTTTTTAATTTAGGCAGGCATATGCAGTGGTGCACATGTGCTACTGTTAGCTCTGTTATCAGGAGTGATGCCTGAATTAGGGCTACTCCAGTTACGTGCAAGGCACATAGCCAGCCTCCTGTACTGCCTCTTTGGCCCTATATACTCTTTTATTTATTTATTTATTTATGCTTTTTTTGGGTCACACCTGGCGATGCTCAGGGGTTTCTCCTGGCTCTGCACTCAGGAATTACTCCTGGTTGTGCTCAGAGGACCATATGGGATGCTGGGGATCAAACCTGGGTCGGCTGTATGCAAAGAAAATGCCCTCCCCACTGTGCTATTTCTCCAGCCCTAAACTACCCATAGGGTATCTACCCAAAGAGGCAAAAACATTTGAAAAGACTTATGCACATCTATGGTCATTGCAGCTCTTGGTCCAAGAGCTCTTATAAATTATTGACAGACTGGTTGTACAGCCTCAACCTGCAGGGTTGGTCTCAGAGAACAAGATAACACAGCACACAGTGGTTGTACTGTATAAGCAGCAGCCACCTGAGAACCCTGGACAAGAGGACAGGCTGGCCCTTTATTTAGAAAAATATTCTCCTCGCCCCCCTTCTGCCAATGCCCTCACACTTACAGTTGTATTAAGGACAGTTAGCAGGTACATTGAGAGTTAATGGGTACATGAAAAATTGATGGGTACATTAAGAGCAAAGCTGGTATGTTCATGCCCGGGTGATAACAAGCAACTTTAATATATAGCATTGAATCCATGATACTTTCCTATTCTAGTAGGACATTCCCTGCCTGGCCACACATTTGCAGCCATCATCGTGTAAAGTTGTTTTATCCAGGGAACTAGCCCACTCTAGAGGTTTTATAAAGGGAATTATTTCCCACAAAGAGGTAGGCTATAGAATCAACCTTGGTGTCCAGTGACAGAAGAGTGGTTCATGAAGCTGTGGAATACTTAATTAGCCACTGCATAGTATCACACAGAACAGAATGCTGTGCGGTCATAAGGAACAAAGCACTCTTGCCGTGTACTGCAACTTGGATGTGACTGATACCTTCTGTGAGGTGAAGTAAGTCAGAATGATAAAGGCAAATACTGGATGTTTTCACTAATCTGTGGTTTGGGAAATAACATGTCTAGGGAAGGGAAGGTATCAAAGGTGGGCAAAACACTGGCCTCAGGTTGCAGAAATGAAAATGCCAGAGAATGAAAGAAATGGAGGGGGATGTGAGAAGAGGAGGTCTAGAAGTCACATGAGGACACGGTCAGGGGCCCTTGGCATGTCTGTGGCTTTGAGGTGAATTATCTATGTGTATCTAAACCATGAGACCTATACTGCTGAAGACATTGGGAACAAGCTCCCGTAATTAAACTTGCAAATGACTCTCTCGGGGCTGGAGCAATAGCACAGGGGGTAGACCGTTTGCCTTGCATGTAGCTGACTCGGGTTCGATCCCCAGCATCCCATATGGTACCCGGAACAATGCAAAGAGTGATTCCTGTGTGCAGAGCCATTGCTAGGTGTGACCAAAAATGCAAAAAAAAAAAAAAAGACTTTTTCAAGGGTCATTTGGGGAATAGAAGGGAATCTGGGGTCATAGATGGAAGGATGGGGTCATTGGCTGGTGGGATTAGAGGTGGGAACATTGATTGTACACCAGAAACCCTCTTGTAGACAACCATGTAGATCAAGGTGTCTAAATTAAAAAAGAAATCTCTTTTCTGTGACCTCTTCTTCATTGTTGCTGTCATTGGCCTTATTGTTGAGGTCCCTGGTTTGATTTCAAACACTTCTTTTCTGGTGATTCCTGCTTCTATTTTTCAGCTTTATTTCTGTTTGGGCTGGAGCGATAGCACAGTGGTAGGGCGTTCGCCTTACAAGCGGCCAACATGGCCGACCCGAGTTCGATTCCTCCGCCCCTCTCGGAGAGCCCGGCAAGCTACCGAGAGTATTCGATATGCCAAACACAGTAACAACAAAGTCTCCAATGGAGACGTTACTGGGCCCGCTCGAGCAAATCGACGATCAACGGGAGGGCCTTTACCTTTACCTTTACCTTATTTCTGTTTGGGGGAAAAAATGATTTTTTTCCAATAAAGCTTCCTTTGAGTTTATTGAGTCTCTCTTCCGGTAATTTCCTCAGTTGAGTGAATATCAAGAGGACTTTTCTCTGAAGACCTACTAGGCCACGCTGAAAACCCTTTTATCCTCTAGAACTCCCCTGTGCTTCCGTCTTCATCCAGTGAATTCCTGTACTTTATTTTCTTCCTGAAGTGATAGCACAGCGCCTTGCACGTGGCCGACCCAGGTTCAATTCCTCCATCCCTCTAAGAGAGCCCGGCAAGCTACTGAGAGTTTCTTGCCCACATGGCAGAGCCTGGCAAACTCCCCGTGGTGTATTCAGTTCGCCAAAAAGAGTAACAACAAGTCTCACAATGGAGATATTACTGGTGCCCGCTCGAGAAAATTGATAAACAATGGGAGGATAGTGCTGCAGTGCTATTTTCTTCCATAATTCCCAGTGCTTCCTGGAAGCGAAGGGTGGAGTTCCTTCTCAGGGGTCTGAGCTGTCTGGGGCTTGTAGCTCTCTGGCTGCCAATGTCTCTGACTACCAATTTCTGCAGCTCTGACTGCCATGGAAGAATTTCTCTAATGCTCGTCACATGGGTCTGGTGCTCATGGCTCTGACCCGTGTGGAACTGGATGATGACAGGGACTGTGTGGCAGCTCTGCCCTTTACCTACTTATGTAGCACCATGGTCTATCTGAGCTGGATTTGCTCAGGGTTTGCCTGTGGTTCAGAGCTTCCGGTGTCTGGCAGTGTCAATCTCCAGCTGATTTGGACAGTGGCTGAAGGTTGTGGTCCTGTGCAGCAAGCTCATATTAGCTGTGGGGGGCAGGGGAAGGGGCACTCTGCTTTGAGAGACCAGTGTGGGATGGTCTGCTCCAAACCCTGGTCCCATAGGTACTCCCCCCGACCCCCCGCCGGGTTTCTGCCTCTAGCCATTGCAGCCTGAGTTGTTTTCTCGGGAGAGGCTGCTTCCTGCTGGGGCCTGGTGACAGCTGTACCCTGTCGGTGCCAGATACCCCCAGTTCCTAGTCTGACACAGTGGGCACAGGCAGAAAAAGGAAACGTTTGGGATCCCTTTGTGTTTTCCAACACAGGTGGGAGATGAAGTCGGCTGCACCCACTTGGGGGAGCTGCCACTGATTCTGAGCTCAATCTGACTGCAGCCTGTCAGACTGTGTGGTGTCTGAAACCTGTAGGGCAGGCTGGGCCAGTGCTGAGTGTGCCCCCGAAGGAGTGTAGCTGCAGCCGTGCCCCTGTGGGTGGGGCAGAGGCTGACCCGTGTGGGCTGGCAGAGTTTGACCCCTGTGAGCAGAGACTGACCTCTGTGGGCAGGGCTCAAACAGGCTATATACGGTGCTGGGGATCGGACCTGGGTCAGCTGTGTGCAAGGCAAGCACCCTACCTGCTGTGCTGCCTCTCTGGCCCCTTATTTTTATGTTTTAAAAGATATAATCATTGTAAATTTTGTAGATTGAAGAAGAAGAGAGGAAAAGAATAGAAGATATGAAAGAAAATGAGCGGGTGAAAGCAACCAAAGAACTGGAAGCTTGGAAAGAATGTCAAAAGAAAGCTGAAAAACCAAAAAGAATTTCAAGAGAAGTGAAACTGTGCCAACCAGAAAAGGAAATTGAAGATGAGAGAAAAAAAATAAAACATAAATGTTTTACTAAAAACTCAGCATCTAGAAATCTTGCCACAAAAGGTACAAGGTTGTAATATATGTAACTATTTTATTTTTTGGTAAATCTATCTCATACTAAGATGAGCACAGATTTGGTCATCTTTGCTTGTGCTTCCTTTGGAAAGTTATGCATATATTATTTAAAAAAAATTTTTTTTGGTCACACTCAGCGATGCTCAGACGTTATTCCTGGCTCTGCAATCAGGAATTTCTCCTGGCGGTGCTTGGGGGACCATATGGGATGCTGGGGATTGAGCCCTGGTCGGCTGCATGCAAGGCAAATGCCCTACCTGCTGTACTATCACTCCAGCCCCTGCATATATTATTTAATTTGTGTTTTATTCAAGACCAAAATCTCTTGGAATGGAGTAGTACTAGGAGCATTCATTTATATCTTCAGCAATAAGAAATTTGGGATTTCACTGGAAGACTTTTTTCTTACAGGAAAATGAGTGCTATATGCAGAATAGTCAAATAACTCTTCTGACCTTCGATTTAAAAAAAAATATGCAAGGAGTCAGGGAGATGGTGTAAAGTGCTGGAGCTTAAACTTTGCATATGGGAAGCCCAGGTTTGAGTCCCAGAACTGTATAGTCCTCAGAGCACCAAGCTATATAGTTCCCAAGCACTGCTTGGCACAAAAACAAGAAAAATTAGGCAATCAAACATTTATTAAAAACTGAGCTTGATTTGTTTATTTATTTTTTCTTTTGGGGTCACATCCGGTGATGCTTAGTAGTTACTCTTGGCTTTGCGTTTGGGAATTGCTCCTGGCCATGCTTGGGGGCCATATGGGGTGCTGGGGATTAAACCTGCTTCAGCTGCATGCGAGGCAAAAGATCTACCACTCTGTGCTACCACTCTGGCCCCCGTCAGTGGATTTTTAAAATATTATACTTTGTTTTGGTCATGTTTCATACACTTAGTAAATGGATTTTTTTTCTCCTTTTTTTGTTTTTGGGTCCATACCCAGAAGTGCTCCAGATCTATTCCTGGTTTTAATCCTTGGCTTTCCATATGCAAAGCATGCGCTCAAATCATTGAGCTTTCCCTCTGGTCCTAAATGGAATATCTTATAGTAAAATAATTTGCATAATAATAATTAACATTATTTTGTGATTACTATGAGCCTAGTGGTTTTATTGGTTATGTTACCCATGCCTCAAAGCAGTACTTTGGAATAAGTACTGCTATTTTTATTTGAAAGAAAATAGAATAAAGCAATAGGTAAACTTGTGGGATTTTTTTTTAAATTGAATCACCGTGAGATACAGTTACAAAGCTTTGCTGTTTGAGTTTCAGTCATACAATGATCAAACATCCATCCCTCCACCAGTGCACATTCTCCACCACCAATGTCCCCAGTATTACCCTCCCCCCCCTTCCAACCCTCCCCCTGCTTCTATGCAGACAATTTCCCCCATTCTCTCTGTCTACTTTTGGGCATTATGGTTTGCAATATAGATACTAAGAAGCTTTCAAATTTGGTCCTTTATCTACTTTCAGCACACATCTCTCATCCTGAACGATTCCTCCAACCATCATTGACTTGGTGATCCCTTCTCTATTCCAGCTGCCTTCTCCCCCAGCTCATGAGACAGGCTTCCAACCATGAAGCAATATTCCTGGCCCTGTGACTACTGTCCTTGAGTGTCAGTCTCATATTATGTTATTTTTTATTCCACAAATGAGTGCAGTCCTTCTAGGTCTGTCCCTCTCTTTCTGACTCATTTCACTTAGCATGATACTTTCCATGGCCATCCACTTATAAGTAAATTTCATGATTTTATCTCTCCTAACAGCTGCATAGTATTCCGTTGGGTAGATGTACCAAAGTTTCTTTAACTGGTTGTCTGTTCTCAGGCACTCGGGTTGTTTCCAGATTCTGGCTATTGTGAACAGTGCTGAAATGAACACAGGTGCAGTTGTCATTTCTACTGAGCTTTTTTGCATCCTTAGAATATATTTCCTGAAGTGGTATCGCGGGGTCATATGGAAGCTCAATTCCTAGTTTTTAAAGGAATGCCCATATTGTTTTCCAAAAAGGCTGGACCAGTCAGCATTCCCACCAACAAACCTGTGGGATTTGAACCCAGGTGTTTCTGTATCTGAAACCTGTACTTGTGTAACTAGAAACTCTATGTCTTTACTTCATAAAAAGCTCTATCTTTTAAGGCCAGTTCAATAAAATACTAACAATGGAATATGTAGCACTGTAGCACTGTCCTCCCATTGTTCTTCGATTTGCTCAAGCGAATCGAAGTAACGTCTCCGTTGTGAGACTTCTGTTACTGTGTTTGGCATATCAAATACGTCACGGGTAGCTTGCCAGGCTTTGCTGTGCAGGCAAGATACTCTCAGTAGCTTGCCGGGCTCTCTGAGAGACGCGGAGGAATCAAACTCAGCTCAGCTGGGCTGGCTGCACGTAAGGCAAACGCCCTACCGCTTTGCTATCGCTGTAGCCCACAACAATGGAATATGAATATATGAAAATATGTATATATATATCTTTCTTTGTTTAAAATACTGATAAATTGGATGTTTCCAAATACTTTTGGAATTCAAATACACTTCATTTTGGGGAGTGACCCAAGCTGGTGATACTTGTGGGTTACATATATCTCTTTCTGGGTGTCACTCCCAGTGGTGTTTGGGCACCATGCAGTGCCAGCGACCTATAAGTGTCTTAACCCCTGTATTATCTCTTACCACTACCTCATCCCCTCCAACACATGCTTTCTCTAAATATTTTCTCAGCAAACTAGAAATGAAAAGTAGCCTCAGTGTGCTAAGTGCTTCTACCAAAAAAAGTTGTTTTTTTTTTTTAAGGAAAACCCCCACCAAAACCCCAAAGAGCCTTATAGCAAATGTTATTTTTGATGTGGTGGTGGGCAACTGGGAGGGTGGTTTGGACCATACCTGACGGTGTTCTGGGGCTGTTATTCCCAGCTCTGAGCTCAGTGCTTAAAAGATGAACCATTTGTGGTGTCAGAGATTCAAACCAGGGATGCAAGGCACGATGCTCTGCCCCACAGATCCAAGAGCAAGACAAGGTGCTGGAGAAAGAACAGCAGGTAGGGTGATTGCCATGCACATGGCCAGCCCAGGGTTGATCCCCAGTATCCCATAGATCCTGAGCCCTTCGCCAGAAGTGATTCCTGAGTGAAGCTGGGAGTAAGCCTAATGTGGCCCCCAAACAAAGCAAATACACACACACACACACACACACACACACACACAGAGTGAGAGAGACGGGGTGGGGTGGAGAGAGAGAGTAGTCAGAGAGGAGAGAGTGAGAGAGAGCACACGCAAGGGCAGAATATCCGCTTTCACTACCTCAATTCAACATTTTATGGGAGGTGTTACTATTACATTTACATTTTGACAAGGCATGGGACTTAGTAAAACCATCATTTGTAATTGACATGATTTTCTTGTATGTTTGTTTTTGGACCACACCCAGCAGGTGCTCAGGGGCTATTTCTGGCTCCGTGACAGTACTGAAGGGGTCCCATGTGGTTCTGGGATTAAACCTTGACCTTCTCTTGCAAAACATAAGCCCAGTCCATTGGACTCTCTCTATGGCTCTGTATTTGACACAGTTGTGTATATCTATCCCTAAATAATTCTACATAGTGACCACTACAAGCAAGATATAAATTTAGCAAGGTCTTGGGATATGATTGAAGAAATAACTAGTAATTTTATTTACCACCTGTGGGAAAGTTAACTTCTATTTGTTTATCAATAAAAGTCAATATTTAGGGCTGGAGCGATAGCACAGCAGTAGGGCGTTTGCCTTGCACGCAGCCAACATGGCCAACCCGAGTTCGATTCCTCCACCCCTCTTGGAGAGCCCAGCAAGCTACCGAGAGTATCTCGCCCGCACGGCAGAGCCTGGCAAGCTCCCCGTGACGTATTCGATATGCCAAACACAGTAACAACAAAGTCTCCAATGGAGACGTTACTGGGCCCGCTCGAGCAAATTGACGAACAATGGGAGGGCCTTTACTTTTTTTTTTATTTAGGAATACATTTCATAAATGAAGCATAAGATGTCATCTCTGAAAATTATAGGAAATTTCTAAGAGATACTTTATTTCTTTTTGGTTTGGGAGCTACATTCAGCAGTTCCCGGGGGCTACTCCTGAATCAGTACTTGGGAATTGTTCCCAGCAATGCTCAAAGGGTCATGCAGTGCCAAGGATTGAACCTAGACCTTGGATATACCAGGTATATAGGATATACCTTGGATATACCAATACCAGAGTCTGTGCTCCAGCCTTATTAAGCCTTTTTTTGAGCCTTATCCCCAACCTATAACATTGGTTTATCTTTCTACCTTGCCTCAGGGAGCTTAGGTTTATTGGGTTACTCCCATCACAGTGCTCCCATTCCTCTGTGTTTATTTGTAACTTCTTTCTTTGTGCTCTATTAACTGGTAAATATGTTTTTCTCTTCTCCTTATGTCCATTGCATAGTTAATTCAGAGCAATGTCCTTTTTGTATGGGCACAGGAAGATAGTAAATGCTATGCTTTCCTGGGAGTCAATTGACTCTAAGTGATATTTACCTCCTGGGCATCTGTTCTCTCAACTTAAGCCTCAGTTGCCCTTACTTCCTAGCGCCCCCCAAAGCAGGGTCCCAACAAGGTCCCAACAAGGGACTGAATGGACCCAGGGCAAGCGGTGAGCTATGTGCTACGCTGGCATCGAGATGGACCTGGCCAAAGTGCTTAATGCTTAACTATAAGTTAAGAGCTTGGTCATGGACAAATGCTGTCATGATCCAAAAAGCAATAACTAGATTTGGATCCTGCTAAGATTAGGAATGATTAATCTGGCCTGAGCACTGTAGTCTGAGTTTGTGGCAAGATGTTCCCAGGAGAACTGCCCTACAAGGCTCAGTGTATCTCTTACTGTGTTCATACAAAAATAATTAATATTAAGATGTTAATTAAGATGTTAGGAGAAGAGGAATACCCCTAGGTGGTGTTTCTGCCCTTGAGCCTAATGGGCTGT